CACAAGATTCACTGAAATGGAACTGACAAACTATAATTTATTAATGAGATTCAGAGATATAATGATGTTCACACTCATGTATGTATTCACTGAGCTTAAAATGCAGTAAAATAATATTTTGTAAAAATAACATTTCAAATTCTATTTTATGCATTGAAAAATTTTCCTTTGGTGAAAAAAATACAGAAAACCCAATATTTTTCTTCTTAGAAATCTTTTATTTCTTCTGGTCTCTTGGAGCAGGAGGCTCTATAACAGCACAAAGACATGTTCTTTTTGTTAGCTAGTGCACGGAATTTTTTGAGCACCAGTTTAGGCTGAGGCCCAACAATAACTTGCCATCATTTGAAGCTGTGGATGATAAGAATTCATTTCCACTAATATTAGGCATGACACTAATTTGGTATTAAACTCTAAGCACATTAGCAATTATGGTACAATGCACTATTACTTTCCAAGTCTCTGCAGTAAGTTTTTCATCATTAATGGTTTATGTTTTTTTCCTTTCCATACAGAATATATCATGCTCAGTAGTACAGCTTCAAAACAGCCCAACCATTAGAATTTTTACTTATATTTACTTTAATATGCATTCCTGATGGCTGAATCTATCTACAAAACGCAGTCATAAGAATATTATAATTCTGTAAGAGTTAAACACATAGGTGCTCGAAACACTGTGTTTAGTCTGGAGGAAGCCAATGTGTGTAAATTCCTGGTTTTTATTACAATGAACCAAAAGAGAGCCTTGAATCCTTGTCTGACTCATCAAAGTGTAATTAAAATTCTATTGTTTGATTCACTTTCCTTTGCAATCCAAAGACAATTCCTGAGGTGTATTATTAGGCTTTTGAATAGGATGATTGCTTTCCTAAAATATATTTACACAAACAAATGCGTAAATGGATTGTAATGTGCCTAAAAGAATAGATATTTTTGTTACATATATTCCTTGGCTTTACTTTCCTATCAGTAACTTTGAAAGCAAAATTTGAAAATATTTATGCTAGAGAGGCTCAGCAATCCTGAATTAATTAAGGTGACAAACCATTCTGGTTTGTCCAGAACTATGGAGTACCTATGACTTCAGATTTAAAACCGGGACAGTCCCAAATGATTTTAGTATTAAAACCAGGACAACTTCAGACAAATGGGTACAGATGGTCATCCTAAACCCTGATGAAATGGTACTGGAGTGAAGACTGTTTTAGGAAAAGAAACTTTAAAAAAATTCTTTCTCTTGCTCTTGCAAGATTTTCCAAATTTCTCGTTTTTCCACTTCCCCAGCCCCACAGTCAGGCTGGTTAATGTTAAGGACACTCTTACCTCTCTGGGTCCAGAACCAAGACAGGAACAATGGCTGGAATTCCTGTACAAGGCAGTGAGGGCTGGGGGTAAGGGATTGAGCTCTGCATCAAATAGTCTGGATTTGAATCCAAGTTTTGCCATTTATTAGGTAGGTGATTTTGTGCCTCTGTTTTCTCAAATGTAAATGGAAGTAACAATGATGTCCAACTAGGAGGGTTACATGAACAGTGCTTGCCATGGATTAAGAGTTCAAGGAAGTTAGTTATTTTTATTGTGATCTTGACTAGGATTAGCAATTTAGAGCAAATCAGTATGTGTATCAGTAACAGTAACTTTCATATCTGTATTCTTAGGGGTACTTGTTACTGCTACGGATTTTCTCTGAGGGGTAGCTTCCATCACCTTAAAAGCTTAGCTATGTTTTTTTGTTGTTGTTGTTAGTTTGTTTCTTGCAATTCAAGGTATGTGCATGAAATGGGAGAAGAAAATCCCAAACTTAGCACTGTTCTATGAAATGTTGCATCAGTGGCAGCAACAACTGGATGACAAAATGATCACAGTTCTTTCAGACAAATTGTAATTTTAATGAATGATTATACATTCTAGAGGCTTTTTTGATACCTAGTATTATGATATAGTTGCATTACTGAATACTTTATTAAATGATTCTGAGATTTTTATTAATGAAGGCATACAACACTTACTCTCATTCACGAGGGTCGGGTGCAAAATTGAAGACCATCAACATGCCACAGGTTGGCCTGGCTACTGGTAGAACTTTGCTTCTGTTACAGTTACGACAAAGAGAGACCGCTGAGAAGTAGGTTGAGAGTTGACTATGGAATTCTAGAGTGTGAGCTCGGCTCTTTCAAAACTGCATTGTTCTCTGTTTTAGTATCTATCATTGAGACTTCATCCAGATGGACAGTGGGAGAGCTCAGTCAGTACATGTCACTCCACTCCGTGGTTTTCTAGATTTGGGGCAGCCACTTCTAAATGAACAGAAGTGAGACTTGTGCCTGATCTTTGGTCTTAAAATTTAGCTAATTAAGTTTACTGTGAAACACATAGTAAAATTTGTCTGTTGAAATTGAACTGCAGGACTTTGATTTTTCACATAAAATTGATTCCTAGCATTTGCCAAGTATGATGCAAAAGATGTCTAAGAAAATATTACAACCATGCAAAAAGTCAAGATGGAAAACCAGGTCCCTTGAGATTTAAACAACCAGTTGAGAACATGATTGAAAAACGTAGTTAAAATATTTATTTTGACTTCAAGGACAGAATAGTCTAGAATTCCTAGGCAATCCAGAAATCCTAGAATTCTGGATTTTGGATATGTAATTATTAAGTATTTAAGGGAAAATTATTTTTTCATAGTATAGGCTAATATAATCAAGTATGTTCTTATACTTTGAACATCTTTTAAGGTTGAAGCCAATTGTAATAGTCATTTCTTCTCGACTGTTTGCTTTCTCTGCATTTATTACAACAGTTTCCTGACTTTCAATATGAGATTCATCATGAAATATATTTTGTATCACAAGACTTCCATTTAAGATGAGAATGTCACATGGATATACCTTATGGTTACATGTAGATATGATAGCTTAAGTAGTGAAAAAATGACATAACTTAGTGTAAAAAATGCACTCACTTCTCAAAAACACCTGAATTTTTTTAGTTGAAGTGTGATTTTGGGGAGAAAAAAATGCTTTCATTCCTATTTTCATTTGTATGTGTAGACAGGCTTTCTGCAAATGAAGAAGATTCTTCTCTACTGTGTGCTGCTCAAAAGCTTCAAGTAACCCCATTGAAACCTAAAATGAACCTTAAAATATAATCCTGCTTAGCAGTTAACTAGTGATATTCTTTCTACGTTGCTCCTGATATATTTTTAGACCTAAACTTTGGCCTCGTGGACCCCTATAATAGAGTGATAGGAAAGAGTCATTTAGTTTTAAACATTTTCCCACGGAATTAAAGAATTCCCATAGGTTAGAAAGATAAAAATTTGGCCCTTTGCCTGGAGGAAAATATCACAGAAGCTCTTTTAGAATAGTGTCAGTTATGCAACGCTATAGTACTTCTGCTTGGTTTAGTTTTAATTAAGACAACAATAGTTCAGAAGTATTATTTCCAGCTGTCGGTATTTGTAAGTTATGTATGTTTTGTGCATTAGAAATGAAAATGCTTTGGCAGTTATCTGTTTTATATATTGCACATCCATGTTGGAGAACAGAAAAATTAAGTGTCTTATGTCATCTGTACTAAGAAAATTGGATCATAATCTGTATGGAAGAATGTTTAGGATTGTATATCCTTTGCCATTTACACCTCTTTAAATCACCTTAAATTAGAGAGCTTGCTCACATGCTGTTTGCTAGCTCCTTCCTTCCTTCCTTTCTCCCTTCCTTCCTTCCTCTTTTCTTAGCATAGATAGAAAAAATTGTATATTCAACAGTAAAAGAAAGCAAGTTTCTTTTTCTTTCTTTTTGAGACTAATATATGTATCCTTGGCTAAATTTAGATTCCAGTGAATAGTTCTGGATTATGAATTCAATTTTAAACTATTAGCTATTTACTTTGTTTTATTGTTAAGGAATGGCCAAATAGAGCATTGAAGTTTTTTATCATTCAGTGCCTAACAATAGTAATTAGAGGGCTGCTAATAAAGACACTATAAAATTGGGTGAGTTGGAGAAGATTTAGACAAATATTAGAAATTTAGGTATTAAGTAAATATTTGGATATTCTAAATATGTGTTCCAGTGATGGCAGAATTAACCTTAAACAGAAAGGATGTTACTTAAATGTCATCAGTTTAGGAAATACTGAGTAGGCAGGGGTGGTGGAATAGCTCCCTTCTCTTTATGATCTTACCTCATTTTCAAAGTTTGTGTCTTGCTATTTGAGTGGGAGGGTCCAGACATGACAGCTTGGTTGTCAATGAAGTAATATTTTTAAAGGTATGGTTCAATTTTAGGATGATCTCTTTAGAGCTCAGCAATGATTTTTCTCATCCACAAACAATTCTGTAGACGCTAGTTCAGGTGAGAGGATAGCAGAGAAGCGGAGTGGCCCCAGGGCCCAAACCCATCTGGATTTTACCCTGAAAAGAGTTCATTAACCTGAGTTTGGGAGAGGTAGAAAGGGCAACATTGAGCAGGAGCAGGCAAAGCAGAGTGACCAGGCTTCGAGGGGGAAAGTCCGAAGACCCCCTTCCCCGTCCCTTCCCTAAAGGCACCTGTGTGTTACGGGGATCCCTCCCAGGCATAGAGTGGCTCTTATCTCCTGAGGGGCAAGTTTCTTTAAGCGTTAGCCACCTGTGTGCTGCGCTCCTGGTGGGAAAGGTGGCTTTGGAAAAAAGAGAGTTCAGACACAGGCTCGGGAGCTTTTCTTGGTGAGGCTGGGGGTCAATATACCTCCAGAACTCAGAGCTTTTAAGATGCAGAGCGCGCTCTGCCCTCGTGGCCAGGATTGTAGTCTGCCGTCCTCAAGATTGGTCTGCTCTGGAGCCAGCTGACATCTCCCCAGTTTGCGCGGGTCCTAGCTGTCCTTTCTCATTCACCCCCACCCCCAAAGTGGCGCTCCCGCCTCGCTCCGCCTCCACATCCTCCAGCGTAGCCCCAGCGGGGGTTATCAGGCTCCCCACACGCACCGCTGGCTTCCTCTGGCGCCCAGCGCAAGTGACCCAGGCAGACCAACCGCTGCCTGGGAGCGTCATCCGCGTTCGCTTCTCCTGCTCCCCTGTCACCACGCCCCCAGCTCTTCGACCCCCTCCCTCTTCCCTGTGGCGCCCACCTCGTCTCAGGTTTGATCCTGGGTTGGACCTGCGGTTTTGCTCCTCCGCACACTCAGCCTCTCCATCAGCCCCAAGAAGTGAAATCTGCACTGAAACTCTGGGTGGCTGGAGCCCTCGGACTGGGCATGCTCAGAAGCCAGGGCTGGCTTTGGTCTCAAGTAGGAAGCTTTTGCACTCCAGAGGCAGCGGCGACTTTGGGGAAAGTTGATCAGAGAGGGGAGGAAGCCCCAAGACGTGGAGCAGCATCTGGAAGGAACCCCCGGCAGCCCGGAGGAGCATGGGCACCCTGCGGGATTTACAGTATGCGCTCCAGGAGAAGATCGAGGAGCTGAGGCAGCGGGATGCTCTCATCGACGAGCTGGAGCTGGAGTTGGATCAGAAGGACGAACTGATCCAGAAGCTGCAGAATGAGCTGGACAAGTACCGCTCGGTGATCCGGCCAGCCACCCAGCAGGCGCAGAAGCAGAGCGCGAGCACCTTGCAGGGAGAGCCGCGCACCAAGCGGCAGGCGATCTCCGCTGAGCCCACAGCCTTTGACATCCAGGATCTCAGCCATGTGACCCTGCCCTTCTACCCCAAGAGCCCACAGTAAGCAGGGGTTGCGCTCCGGGGCCATGTGGCTCCCTGTCGGTGGGGAGCTGCGGGTCTCTGTATTGTCTGTCAGCCCCCGCCCTCCCGCTTGCCATGTCTGTCCTCATCCTTCAGAAATGTTTCATTTTAACGGGCGCAACTTGCGGGGTTGTGCACGTTTCTAGAGCCAGACTCACTGCACCTACGTTGCCTTAGTGTCTTTGTCGGATGCCAAGCTATTTTAAAAAATATATACATATACATTCATATATGCCACCTCTCGTACAGAGAGTTTGAATGCTCCCCAGGTATGTGTCCGGTTGTGTGTATGTGAGTGAGTGTGAGAAGCGGAATAAAAAGCCCCATCTCCCAAATGCCTTGGCAAAGCTGCCGGGCCGTAAAATCCTAAATGCAGGCTCTTCAGACTTGAAATGAAATGCGTCTGCTATCACCCTTACTTTCCATGCTTTCGTGGCTCTCCCTGGCTTCTGTACATGCTGGCAGTTCAAGCCAGTACCCTTCAAACCTGATGATCTGTCATCATCCAAGTGTCAAAAAATAAGCAAATGCGCATGTAAAAGGGACGATTTTTTGATTTCCTGAATTGGATGACATTTGCAGTCCACAAATGGAAGCCTAATCTGTTGATTTCTTAAAAATCTTTTTGTAACATCTGAGGGAGAATATTGCTTCTTTTCCTCAAGGAATTTGCATGCTGTGGCTAATGGGGCACCTCCTTCTTCCAAGAGGTTGCATGTTTCTAGGATCAAGTACACAGAAGTACCCTACCTGTATCGTCAGTGTACACACAGTTTGCCTTATTCCTGGATTCTGATGCAACCACTCTGGTACTGATCTAGCATTTCAGAGAACCATGTAGTTCTGGTGTCAGTGGGCTTCACCACTTGGGTGGGAAAATTGAATGAAACTTGCTATACACCACTTAACTCAGAGTTCTTATGGAGTGTAAAGTGACAAGAACTTGAAGTTAATATACAATGAGCACCTGAATAAATGGTATTTTCAATTAATAGATAATGACATAATTGATAAAATGAAGGATTTTGACACTCTATTCTTAACTACATCACATTGGCTGGATGAGGTGTTACATAATAATACACGGTCCCTTGGAACTCTTTACTTCATAAACACAAGGAACTAATAAGAGGAGAAGGAGTAAATACTTAATAATTTTCACTTGTATTTACTGTATTTGGGGAAGCTTGAGAGTATGTATTATTATACTTTTGAAAACTTAGAGTTGTACCCATACTTTTGGTTCCCATTGAGCATGTGCTGTTATCAAGTTTGGCATTATGAGTTTTTATTCTGAGAGAGGGTGGTGAAGAAACAGTAAGAATAAACATTTCTGACATTCCAATTACACCAAGTTGCCCTAATAGCTCAGTAGACTTAGATCTGCCTTGGAAATCTGAATGGTCTGTGTCTACCTCAGCTTTCTCTGGTAGATTAATTTGCAGTCCTCATGGGCTGGCTCGTTTCAGCCAACCAGGCCCATGGCCATCTCTCCTGGACCAAGGTTCACATAATGAAAAAGCAACTCAAAGACAGTTAGTTCCCTTCACCTTTAAGCATTCTATAGGATCTCCTTTGAGTATTTTCAGGACTTTGGAGTAAGACAGAGCAAACTCCACTTTTATAAAAAAAGACCATTTTTAATAGGTTTTATAATGAAGCATGATCAAGTTAGCTAAGCTGATGACTAAGATCGAAAGGAATCTAGGCAGTAAGGGATGAGCTGAAGTTTTAGAAGTTTGTTAGTGCTTCATGTGAAGAACAACTAGATTTTTTTTAAAGCCCGTGGTGGGAAATGAAATGAGTGTGGCAAATAATTCTGTCATAATAAACATTTTACCTATTCATCAGTGCTGTGCGTTCTGATATTTATTTAATAACTAACTTGTGCTTTGAAGAAGTTAGCTACTAAGGTATCACCACGACGGTTCTGGTGATTCTGAGCATTACTTTGAAGAAAATGATAGCATGTCTTCCAAGCTTAAACAATTTTGGAAAAACATCTGTTCTTTTTTCACACTTACATAAAGAAAACTAGAATAAAATTGGCTTAAGGGATACAGTGTACCTCTCAAGAGAAAGAGAAATATATTGTATGCAAAATGATTATCGTTACGTCATTGGAATGATTGTACAAGGTAGCTCCACAAAGAATTAGGAAAACTTGCCAAAGTGAAGAATATGTGTTTGAAATTTGATATATTTCATGATAGTTTGATTATATAGATTTACTGTCAACAAGTGTTCGTCTTTATGTTTCATTTTTTGTGAAACTTAAATTTAGTTGTCTTTCTTAAACTTACACACAGGCTATCGTGAATTCAAGTTAAAATGAAACCATGTAAATAGTACAAAATTGATTTTTCATGTTAGTTTTCTATTTTCTTTCCATTAGACATAGTTAACTGTTCTGCTCAACTATCTGATGAATGAAAATGTTTGTTTTCTTTTTGCTTACTGAGGTTGCCTTCTGAGATTAATTTTTGACACTTCTGTTTTTAGTGATTTTTGATCATTTAAAAATAATGTAAATTGAAAACTAACTTACCTACTTTGGGTTTGAAATTTTCCCCATTAAAGTGGAAATTGGAGGGAAGACTCGGTCGGGTCCCAGCAGACAGCCAGGGCTCTCCTCTTGCTCCTGTGAGGGGGTGCGCATTTACTGTTTGTCTCTTTACCACCTGTTTAGAAACAGCTCTTATGTACATTTTCTGTTATGAATGTGAAGCAAAGAACTGATACAGCAAATTGGAATCTGTATTCCACTGCTACCAAATAACTACTTGAGAATATAAAGCTATTAGTCTATATATTTTGAAATAAATTGAGTAAATAAATCCTTAAAATGACAAAAACGTCTGTAATAGGTTAGCACATTCAACATCTGCTATTATAGTCTCAGCTCTTTACCTGTGGTAAATGTTCTGAAATCCTTTTTGTTTTTGCCATCATGGGGTTCCATGTGTCTTCAGTTGGGCTCTATAGACTTTAGTTCTTTTTAGAAGTTGTTAGTGTCTTTGTATTCTTGTTAAGCTGTTGCTTTTCACTCCAGAGGTAGATGCATTTCAGAGAACAATGACGTTTTGTTATACTTTACTTTTTGATTGTGAAGTGCTGTGGAAGAGTGGAGGATAAAAAGAAATATTTTCTTATTTTTAAGGAGGCATTCATTTTAACAGGATCTTATCTGAGCTTTTAAACCTTGACGCTAGTGTATCTCAAGAGAAATGGAATCCTCCTACAGGCTGCATGTTAAATTTTGTAGGAAGTTGAGAGAAGTCTAGCATTTTAGTATCATAATAGGTGGCATAATATTAAAGCATAGATTTCTTCAAAGGCATTGATTGAATTTCAAGTGCACCCTACAGCCCAGTTCAATATTTTTGTGTGCCATGTACAAGCTACCATCAGGCATTAGAGGTGAGATATAAATAAATAGTGCCATCAAGGAGTTAACAAAGGGTTAACAATACTGCACAAATAAATATTCTAGAAAGCGGAGTAAGGCATATCACAGAGGAAATACTTAAGACAGCAAATATAATTCAGCTCATTTAATTTTATGATATCAGAAACTTGTGTAAATGGAGATATTTAAAGTAAATGCATATTTGGAGGATGGCCACGATTTAGTGGTGATGAGATTAGATGGGGTGGGGACAGAGAGGGCCATCAGCCAAGGGCCCCACAGCGTGAAGAACCAGAGGGCACCTCTGGGGAGTAACAGCAACTAGTGGCTGTACCAGAACACCACAGTGGGAATTGGGGAAAAGCAGGTTTAGGCCAGAGAGAATCAGAACCTTAGTTTCTATTTTACAAAGTGGATAAGAAGGCATTTCTGCCCATGTTTAGAATAATCAAGAATTGTGTGGGTGTGTGTTTTACCAGAGGACTAATTATTACCCATTAGTAAAGCTCTGTATCTTGGAATGTCAGTCCAATCATCCACCTGCCACCAGCACAGTCTCGATAATAAACATTACTCTTCCAGCTAGGTAAGGGTATTAAATATAACCAGTCAGCAGATGATTTAAGCTCTTAAAGAACCCCAGTTCCACTCTTAATAGAAAACAAGCCCCTTTTCCACTCACTTCAAACTGTTCCCATTGAAAATAATCTAATTTTGTGCCACAGGCTAGCATTGCAGATTCCTCACATACCTAGGCAAATGGGACATGGGAACTGAACCTGAAGTTGATTTTTAAAATTCACTTTCTTGTTTTTGTGGAAGAGTTAAATTCCAGCTTAACCTTATTCTAATACACGTTCCCATTTAAGCTTCTTGTTAATTTGCCTTTACAGTCCTCGCAGTGAATTGGAAGTTGTGGAAGCTTTTCTAAAAAAAATGTATGAGAACAGGTTGCTAAAACCCTATGAGGATATTTGGAAGCACAGTCGAGTGGTGTGTGCCCTGTGAAGGGGGCTTAGAATGAGAATACTGACAAGCCCTTAAGGAGAATAGCTCCAGAGACTGCCTGAGAATATAAAGGACCAGTTTCCTTGCTCTGTGGGGCCACATTTCCAAGCTCATGCTAGTCGTTATTTCACTAAAGAGTTGGGTTTGGATTCCTAATGGGGAACGGTTGAAGAAGGCAGACGATGTTTCTGTTGTTGCTGTCTGCAGGTTACAAGGCATATGGAAACAATTTTTCCCCTGTCTGCCTAGAAATGGAGGGTCTCCATGGTATCCTAGCAACCAGTTCCAACACTGGTCTGCTGCTCTTTCTGCCATCTCTACCATAGGTACTGCTACCCATCCCTGGGAACCAGACTGGCTGCTGGTATCCAGACCCTCCGACTTGAACCTTCCATGCTTGGAGAACACAAGACAATGTACTAAATAAATAAGCACATGCTGCAGGCAGCAGTCTGCTCACCAGCTTATTATGTGATCACATCTGTGGCACTTTGAATCCTAATCTGAATTGTTGAGCTGGCACTGGTGGCCACCCCTTCCCTGACAGCCTGTCCCGACTTCC